GGCTTGACGGAATTCACGGATTCATGGCTATGCTAGTATCTGGCTTTCACGAACTCATAGCTTTGCTAGCTTTCGGCTTCATAGCTGAAAGTTCTGTCGGCCTTTTCAGCAAGCGGTTTCTTCATTGCTTTCCTTAGCTGCAATAAGCCAAATACAATTAAATTTAGGATTCAGAATCCGTTATTTTTGATTCTGAATAATTTGCCCGAAACTTTTTTGATTAATTCGAACCCCTCCATTATAAAAAGGGTGCAACATTAGGTACAGAGAGCTGTAGGAGATTACCTGGTAATCGCTTGGGTTTGACCTACATCATTCAAGGCCCCTCCACAGGCCATTGCCAGCTCACAATTCCGAGGCACCCCAACAGGAAGTTCTTAGATTCAAGCAAAGATCCTACTAAAGTAAACTCTCGCACTTTCAAGAGTTAACTTTGTATTACTACTAATTATTACCACCATCATTTTGGAAAGCTACTATTTATTTCGAGCGATATTAACTCTGCAGTCATCATGAAATAACAGTACTAGTCATCGATTTATGACCCTTATCACTAACAAGACAACCACAATCAGTATTCTCCTCTTCAACTCCTCCTCGCTCTTTGACCCTGGCGACCTTAAACCCTAAACTCGGTTTGGGCAAAACCCTGAAGTTTAGAGTTTTGCCCGAACCGGTTTCAGCATTTAAGGTCGCAAGGGTCCAAGGGCGCCCTAAACAATGAACCGTACACCTTAAACCGTATAAACCGTAGACCCTAAACTAACAGCAAGGCACAAGCTGGACGTGAGTTGGGCTTTTGCCAAGCCGGGGAGCAAGAAGAAGGGCCGCCGATAGAGCGGAGGTGCTGAGGGACCGGCAAAGTTCCTGCGCGGAAGGTCTTAAAGATAATGTGGACGCCTATTGAACTAGAGTAGGGTAGTGAGCTTTGGTGTTATGATCTTCATTTTGTATGAGGACTGCAAGGGAAGAGTAGTGGCTGGTATTCAGTATTCAGGCATATTCAGGCCGTCTACATTAGGCACGATGTGGGCGACCGGCTGCCAACAGCGCCTGCAGAGCAAGAAATGAAGACCATCCGGGGTACAGAAGTTACGGGTCTCCTAAGCATCTATACTTTGGGTAATGCCCTCACCCAGAAACAGTCTGTAGTAGGGTTAAGATTTTGGGCTACTCATAGCTATAGTATGCTGTCTAACTGCTACTGGGTGGGGGGAGACCCCCTGAACGCTATACCATGATTACTACTCCCACCCCCACAGTTCTCTCTCTCAATCAGGCATGTAAAGGTTAACTCAAGCTAAAACCCTAAACCCTAAACCCTGATCCCTAAACCCTAAACCCTAAACCCTAAATCTTAGCGGGGGTTGTCGGAGCAGGTGGCTAGGTGAACCCAGATCGGAAAAGAGTGACATGTCTAGGGCTTGCTTCTGTGGGAAAAGGTAGCATAGGTGACCCATGCTACCCTAACCCCTAAACGCTAACAGTGGCTACGCGCGGTGCAGAATTTAAGCCTTTGCTGCTCTGGGGCCTGGCGCTTTGGACCCCAAACCTTAAGCCCATGTTCTCGGTGCTGAGGCGCGATGCTTAGGTTAGAGAGTTTTACCTAGACCCCCAAGTACCCTCTGTAGACCCTAAGTATCTACAAATAGGACCTACGTAGACCCTATTTTAGGGTACCTGGGGGGTCTATGTAGGGTCCAGGGTTCAGGGTCATGAAGATTGTTACGGATGAAATCCTTAGTGAGAATGGGTATGAACATGAAGGTTGATAGGTTTTAGGGTTTAGGGTTTGGGGTTTTGGGTTTAGGGTTAGGGTTTAGGGTTCAGATTATTGTATTATTTCTGGAGGCTATAAGGCTTCAGGGTTACGGGGCTCAGGTATGGTCGTTAGAAGTTTCGCGTTTTTGCGAAGTGTCTTTTGCGGCTTGAATCTTCGGATACACCTGTAACCCCAGTCTACCTACGGCTTAGTAAAGAAATCCACCCTCATTGATAGTCATAACCCAGAAAAATAGGGAACCGGGGTCATAGGTAGGGATGGGAAGGTAAGCCCGAAACCCTAAATCTTGAACCCTGAAACCGCGTGTGGTGTGGTTTGATGTTCGGCTCCTGGTTCGTACTGTCATACAGCTGTGGGGATTTGCCTGCAAGAGCCACACCGTTTAGGGCTCAGGCATAGAGCCTAGGGTTTAGGGCTACAATGGCGTTCTTCCCAATCGCTTCGACGTGCTTAGTAGAGTCCTATAACCTGGTGAGGGTGGCTGCATATCGTAGATCTGAAACCTCAAACCCTAATACACCTCATATCTGGCTTGATCCATAGCAGAGCAGAATATGCAGCATCAGCATATATCCGCAAGTACACGTACCGAGGCCGGCTGCATAATCGTCTCCAGGATTGCAGTGGGCAGCGTCTAAAATCAAGTTGTACCAGCTAAAACTTGCTGGGGGTTCATAGGGAATGAAGGAAAATGTTCTGTCTATATAAGATTATAGATACGGTTTAGGGTTTAGGGTCAGTAGGGAATAGGGGAATATATCTTATAGGGATCATGCAGGAATTATATTCCCTTATTCCCTGCTAGCCACCAGTAAGAAAAGAAGGAATCTGCATCTGAGTCACTTGCCGAAACCTGTCTGCTGACAGCCTCCCGTGTGGTTCCTCCAAAACATGTTCTGCTTTTTCCATTTGGCTCGAGCCGGTCGTGCTCGCCCTCTCTAAGTACAAGCCCTCACTGTCAACATGGACGTCGACTACGATGATGCTCGGCTGCAACTACCTCCTCAAAGGATTCGAATTCTTAGATGGGGGTATTACTACAGTCCCAAACTTAGAGTAAAACCCAATTGCCCTTCAGTTGTAGCCTTGTAGCATTTATGAGCAGAAGCTAATCTTAACGGTCACCTCCCCAAGAAAACATGTAACTTTGGCTGAAGGTCCGTCAAGGAGATATTCTGGATTTGAAGCTCTAAGTCCTTCTTTCGTGTAGCATTTATCCAAGTCATAGTGACGGAGAAGCTGTGGCAAATATCTGCCGGTCATCCCCATATTGCAGAATTGGTTGAGATCCCACTGTTGGACCGAAGCAGTTGTTGAGGGGAAATGCACTCAACAGGGTCTCGCGCTACGTGGCATCGAATCTAGTCCCTCTCCCCTCCTCAGACGAAGAATATCCCGAAAATGGTCAATGCGGCCTGCCTAACCTTGAATCCTAAACTTTGGGGTGTTAGTAAGGGACAAGGAGCTACGTTTGAAATATATTATATGGGGATTATATGTGGAATATATGCCGTTATTCCCTACCACGCACCAGTAAGTGGACTCTGGGCCATCGCCAGGAATTTCTTGCTTTCTGCCGTAAGCCCCAAACCCTAAACCGTTCATACGATTGTCGAAGCCCTGAAGCCCAGGACGAGGTCGCGGAGGAGGGTGCGCGACCCGCTGGACGCCGAGTGAAGGGCCGTGGTGGCGAGGACTCGGATGATTGGGAGAAGGGCTTCAGTTGCTGTTAAGGAACTTAAGTTGCAATACCAAGGAACTCTGTTATTTACTGTATGCCCATCGTATAGCAACTAAAATGATAGATGTACTGCAGTTTATGGTTTAGAATTCAGGGTCTGGGGCTGTACAATACTGGCCTGAATGATCAATCTCTTTTAAGCAGGCCATAGGGTGTTTGAGGGTCTAGAGTTCAGGGGTATAGTGCAGAATCAAACGGAAAAGAAAATAGAACATGAAATGGAAACTGCTATCTTAGGGTCTTATAGCATTATTAGGGGTTTGGGTTGGTCTTAAGGAATTTAGCAAGTCGCCAAAATCTGTGTATCTTGTACAACAACAGGCTTCATCAGAGCAACTTTGCCCGAAGTTACTTAAGAGTAACCTGGAGAGTTACAGGTTGTAGTGTTTAAACCCTAAACCCTGAACCCTAAGGCTGCAGCAAGAGTTTCATAAATGGAGGCTGCTTATGACTTAAGACCTTGTCTCCTGTGCCCTTTAACCTACGAGATTAGAATTTAGGGTTTAGGGGTTTAGGTTCAGTAGTTAGGGGACTGGGGAATTTGGCGTAGAAGGGTTCCGATTCAGTTGGCTTTCCCTGCTAGTGTGCCGCTGCTCTATGATGGGTCCTGATGGAAGACTTGGACATTGGGGGGTTCATGCGTTTTTTCCATTCTTTTCCAAGCTCCATAAATCCCAAGCCATATCAACTCCACTTCCCAAAAACCCACATCCTAACCCCCAAAAACATTGAAAATTGCCCTGAACCCACCCTAAACCCCCCCCAAACCCTGAAAAGTGTCCCACCCGCGCAATTCAGGAGGATGATCGCTACGCAGGCAAAGCCGGGAAGTCTCTAGGCCCTAGAGTGCGACAGGCTGTTTTGGGGCGTTGTTGAGGATTTAGGGTCTAGGGCTTAGGGTTTAGGGCTTGGGGTTTAGGGTTTAGGATTCAGGGTTTAGGGTCTAGGATTTAGGGTTTAGGGTTTATGGCTTTCGGTTTAGGGTTTAGGTACCCCTGGTATCCAGCTGTATACAGGGCTCACTGGACTACAGGTAGGTGTACGTTCCGCACGAACATAGGATCATGCAGCCTCATTCTAGTTATTATAACTACAGTCGACTGTGCCTGAAAGTCACTATTGCAATTGAGGGTTTCCCAAAATTAGGGGTACTTTTTTGGGGATCCCCATAATAAGGATTAGAGTATATTAGGGTCAAGGCACCTTCCTTGTAGCTCAGTACTTGGAGGGACCTTGAAGTCAGGGTAATGTGCTGCATCTCCAACAGAAACCCTTTGCAAACTTTATCAAACAATGGTGTGAAAAGGTGTAGATTGTACGCTTCTTGCTATGCGCCGGATTATGTAGGAGATCCAAAACGGACATCCTATTTGTTCAAGCCACCGTTTCTAAGGTTTGAGCGTTTGGACGACGATGACGATGAGACGGGCGCCGCACGATCCATCGAGGGCTGGGTCGTTATTGTGCCTTGCACGCGCTTTTGAGCTGTAATGCCCTCTTGTAGAAGCCACCCTTACCTGGGCTGCTGTGCTAGAGAAAGGAAACCCTGTCATGTACTGTCTCCCCATATTACGTAATTGGTACTAACTTCCTCAACGGCAACGCAGCTACGGGGCAACTTTGGGAGAACCATGTGATTGCAAGTATGTACACATTTTGGAGGCCCATAGACGGCGGCAGAAACCAATACCTGCAGTCTCACGCCTAAAAGCAGATGCTGAGGATTCAGGATTTGGCGTAGTGTAGGCGCCTAAATGATTGAAAAACATGTTTTCTCGGGCATTATCACTTTATTCAAATTTATGTATGTGTGTATATATAAATATATCTACACATATGTACATATATATATATATTTAGGTATACATACATATACGTACGCGCATTTCATGGCTACTGCTGAAGAAGTTGTGTTTAAGGGTGTGTTTTCAAACTATGATTTCAGGGCGGGGGGGATTCTGGCATTGAAGTGTCGGGGCTTGAGAAGACTGATTTGCTTAGCATGAGCCCTAAACCCTACAGACCCCAAACCCGTAAACCGTAAGTGTCTGCGCGCATTCCTTAAAAGCAGCCCTGACAACCCCCTAAACCCTAAACCCTATACCTACCCCTAAACGATGCTTGCCTTCAAAGGGACCGCTACGGAGCTTGCGGCGTAGGATCCCGCAAGTCTAATGTCTACTCCCAGCCCCTAATATCAAATATTTCCAATACATAGGGTTTCGGGCTTCATGTTAAGGGTTTAGGGTTTAGGGTTTCGTGTCCTGGGCTTGGGGCTTAGGATGCAACAATAGGAATGTTTTATATTATGGGGCGCAGGGGAGGGTTAATATGACGTGGAGGGGACTATGACTGCTGAGCCCTGGGCCTCTGAGCCTAGGCCTTTTGTACCCTACCTAAGCCCGAAACACATCTCCACACCTTGAACCGCAAGCCACTTGCTCCACACCCTTAACCCTCGCCTTTTTAAACCTTAAGCCTTCCTACACCCTAAACCCTAAACCCTATAGAACCCCTTTATAGCCCCTATATAGCCCATCATAGTAGTTTTCATTCTCTTTTCTATTAAGATCTTCAACCCTAAACCCTAAGATCTTCAACCCTAAACCCTAAACCCTAAACCTTAAACCCTAACCCTAAACCCTAAACCGGGGTAGCCCAAGGTCTCTGGCGTGCACGAGGAAGCTCAGGAGGATGACATTTTCGAGGCCTTCTCGGAGTATGGAGACATCAAGAAGCTTTGTTTAACTTGAGAGGGTTTAGGGTTTAGGGCTTAGGGGGACTCACCCAACACCCCAGACCCTAAGCCCTAAACCCTATACCCCAAGCCCTAAATCCTAAATTGCTACAACGTCTGGGCGGTGGGGTTTGCTGAAGAAACAGTTTGGCGAGTTTAGGTTGGAGGGTTTTGTAGCGTCCAGGTTGTACGGATGGGTGGTTAAGGGTTTAGGGTTTGGGGTTTAGGGCAAGGTTTGCTCAAGAGACAGTTTGGTGAGTAAAGGGCTTGAGGTCTAGCATGCAATGTATTGTCAGTTATGCTCCTTAACATCCGTCACGTGTATGACTATGGTATTACCTACCCCGATGTTCTATTTGAATTGATCCTAAACCCTAACACCTACACCCTAAACCCTACGGGTATCAGGCTTCAGGGCTAAGGAGCCATTTGCGGGAAGACGGGGTGCTTAGGGTGTAGGATTTTTGGAGTCTTGGGGGTGCGAAATGTAGGGCGAAGAGTTACGCGCCACGTCCGTGGTATACGAGCTACAGTCGATAGGATGTAGGCTTTAGGGCTTAAACTCCTTGAGGGGGGTTATATAGGGGATATAGGGGACAATTATGGGGGATATTAAGGGGGATACCAGGAGTTTAGTCTAGGGCTCATATAGGGCCCGGCTGAGAGGTTTGTAGCTCCTTCAATGGCCTTGTTTTGCTGTTCCCCAAACCACCTATTTAAGACATTGGGCGCCCTGTTCAGCCCCTTTGCAGTATCAACCCTGCCAGAAGGACCCCCTAAACCTTAAACCCTAAATGGATCCTGACCCTGAGCCCTACATGCGAATATATTTCTTTTTGGCGCTAGGTTTCCTTTTTGGTTAGGCCTTTTTGAGAGTGTTTTCCCAAAGGTCCCTGGTATGGACCTCAGTCAGGCTTTAAGGCAGATATGTCTTGATCTTGTGCAAGCGAGATAGGAAGCGCAAAGTTATAACCAGGTAAACCCTACAGTCCCTTATTCCCCTAAACTCTAACCTCTTAAAACTTCTTGCTATCATCTTTTTCGTAATGGCTTCCTTAACCTGGAACACAAGTGCAGCAAGGCCTGAAGCGTGCACCAAACTTGAGCAACACAACATCTTCTCTGCTATTAAGTTAAGCATTCCGTAAGGGTCCGAGTATCCAAAAATTAGGGTCCTTTAGAAGGGACGTATAGGGACATATAGACCAACCCCAAACCCTTGGCCCTAGACCGGCCTTAAACCCTAAACTCTAAACCCTCAACCAACCCTAAACCCTACACCAACCCTAAACCTCCAACCAACCCTAAACCCGACACCCTGAACCCTGGTCCATCCGAGATAAGGAACCTGCACCTCAATCTTGACCGCCGTACAGGTGCTTGAAGGGCATTTGTAGTGTTTTTTTCTAAATAGGGTTCCGTAGGGCATATAGGGTGTATATAAGGGCTGTGCACGTTGGAGGGTTTGCGGGGGTTGTGAGTTCAAAGTTTAGGGGTTAGGGATTGGGGTTTAGGTTTTAGCGCCTATATAGGGTTCAGCTTCTATAGCGTTTAGGGTGTAGCGCTTAGGGACGCTTAGTAAGTTTCCTTCTGGCTCTCATAGCCTAACATAAGCTGTGCGGGGTCCATGGCTAAGGGCATTCGAGTTGGTTTGGCTCTGTAACTACCTATATGAGCTGGGCTCCTTATAGGGGGTTATATAGGGGACTAGTATAGGGAGTATTAAGGGGATACTCGGAATTTAGACCCTAAACCCTAAACTCTAAGCCCTAAACCCTATAGTAGGGGGTACTAAGAGGGATACTTGGAGTTTAGACTATAGCTCATATGTACAGGTGAGCTGGATGAGCTCTTCTTGGGCTCCCTTGAGTGAGGTTGGTATTATTGGGTCATATTGGGATAATGGAACAGAAAGTGGAAAATACTATTGTTTAGGGTTTAGGGCCCTAAGCCCTTAAACCCTAACCCAAGAGAGGACACTTTGGTCACCACATGCCTTGCCTGCGCTTCAGGGAAAGTTCCGGATTGCAAAACACGATAGAAATTGTATTTGTGTAGCGGTTTATAGGGTTGAGGGTTTAGGGCTTGAGTTTTAGGGTTTGGTTTATAAGGCTGAGGGTTTAGGAGTATAGGGTTTAGTATTTAGGGTTGAGGGTTTAGGGTCGGTAGGGCTCGAGGGGAAGAGCCCAATTTAGGACCCGTATACCTATACACTTGCAATGCACCTACTTAGCACAGAGTCAAGGATTTCATGCAAAAGGCTCGGTTAACAGTTGCTAAACCCTCAACCCTAAACCCTAAACCGAGCGGAGCTTGGGACATTTTGTCAGTGATGAGCATGCCTGTTGATGGTACATCCCAGAATGCTTGGATTCTTTACAAGGCCCTAAGGGTCCATGTACCCAATAATTAGGTACTTGGGATTTGGGTACCAGTAATTCTATTACAGGTTTTGGGCAAGTATATGATTATTAGGTGCTTGGACCCGTAGGGAGGGGTACGACCGGAGCTAGAAAGGCAAGTTTGAGCCACCTGCTCCTTGCGTGTAGTGTAAGCCTTATGCACGATAAATACGATTATCCCTTGTAATCATTTACTCATAGCTATAGTATCATATGTCCCAAAACCATATTCTGTTTCTGTAGGCCCTTGCATCGCAATCCTTATAAACCTCTGCATGAAAGCAGTTCGCATGTCATTCCCCATTTCCCTTTCCATATGTTTCTCCGGTGTTGAAATTATCCAGCCTGTGCACAAAGCCCAACTGATCTGAATCTGCACATGCGCTCTATGGGGTTAAGGTTTAAGGTGGTCTCTGGGATCTCGGTTCCAGACATGGCTACACTAGGGTTTGGGCTTAGGGCTTAGGAAAGAGCATGCTTTAGCTTATTGGTGACTTGCAATATTGGCATATATTGGAACTTTAGATGAGGAGTGCGTTCAAAATTTGGGGGGAAGAGATCAGGGCCAATTAGGGCACTTGTGGTTCTGTAAGTTGGCTGTCCCTTTATACCCTTACGTCCACCCATGGGCCAATCAACCCTAAACCCTAAACCCTAAACCCCTAAACCGGGTCCCAAAAGCACCCGATGCCTAAACCGTAGACCCTGCATGGGGCAATGAATTTGCAAAGCACCTCCCTTTCTTAGGAGACCATTCCAGGCGTACACTTACATGAGCTATAGTCTACTCTCCCAGTATCCCCCCTGAAGATCCCTAATACTCCCATATATAATTCCCTATTCAACCCCCCTTTAAAAATCTTAGACTACAGCTCATACAGGCTGCTTGGAAGCTCTCTTAGCAGGGGGGTTCCGAGACTTGTTCCGGGCGGGGCCTTTCTGATCTTCAAGCCCTGACCCTGATTGGTCCATAAGGACCCTGCCTTAAGGACCCAATAACTAGGTACTTGGGATTTGGGTACTAGTAATTCTATTACAGGTTTTGGGCAAGTATATGATTATTAGGTACTTGGACCCTTAGGGCTGCATACTAAACCCTAAACCAAGTTTCAAGGCACTTTCCCTAAACCCTACACCCTTAACCCTGAACCCTAAATCCTGTATACTAACATGTTTCAAGGGGCTCCAAAGACCAAGCAAGTATTGGACACATCAGGTAGACCTACTCCGTCAAAAGAGCCTCCAAGTAGAAGGGGTTTAGGGTTGTGGGATTCTGCGTGGCCTTCCCAACCGCTTCAACAGAGAGGGCTTTGGGTGGGGGGGGGGGGCCTGCGCTTAGAGTCAGGTTCGGTTTAGGGTTTAGGGCTTGTGCCCAAAGACTTATAGCCCCGCTTCAGTCGATTGAATATGGTGTATATGGGGATCTTATTATAATATACCCAAAGCCCTATTCTATCTACTTAAGGGGGACTATAGGGTTTAGGGCTTCAGAAGTCAGATGCCTCCTGGAAATATTCACAAAGCAGGCGCTGCCCTTTCTACAAACTCATGCATGAAGTTCTCTCGAGACACAAGCGTGCAATCCCTGGGCTCTAAACTGCCCCCTGAGCCCTAGGTCCTGAACTCAACCAAGTTTTCTCAAATAAGACAGCGAACCCCAAATCCTGAACCAGAAGCCATGAACCTCCTAAACCCTAAACTCCCTAAACCCTGGAGCACCCCAATCTGCCCCAAGCCTGCGGGCAGGTTTCGTGAAGGGCTATGCGTTCATCGAGTATGAGAATAAGCAAGAGGCAGATGCGGCTATCAAGGCTCCACGACCTACTTAGGGTTTAGGGTTTAGGGGCTACATAAGGATAATGGAAAAGAAAATGGAAACTACTAGTATATTGGGGCTATAGTCACCCTTAAGTAGGGGACTATACAGGTCTAGGATTTAGGGTTCATAGCTTTGGGTTTGGGATGCTTAGGCGTCCATGGCTTAAGGTTTGAAGTCTGTTGTTCAGGGTTCAGGATTTATGCCCTAAACCCTAAACCCTAAACCCTAAACCTATGTCCTACAGCGCTATAATGACCAGTTCCCTGCAAAACTGCTGGCGGCGCCTACGCGCCAGAGTTCCATCTTTTCATTGTACAGACAAAGCATCGGAAGCGCATGGCAAGCGTAAAACCTATGTCCTGGCTCAGGGTTTAGATCTCAGGGTTCAAGGTTTAGGGTGTTTTCCTGGTCTCCAGCGTGAGGAAGCTTCACGCACCGTGAGGGGCAAGGGTATGTGTTTTGGGGCGAAGACGATCTTGGTTCAAGTTCTTTGGATCTGATTGCCACTTTAGAATATTTCGGATTTTCCTGATTTTGGTTTGAAAGGGGAGCCTGTGCATAAATCACCGGCGCAAAACAGATATGCGGCTCTAGGCTTAAGGTTTATCGATGACGGGTCTACATTAGGGTTCAGGTATTGGGATTGGGCTTTCTGGGAGGCGAATTGAAAACCTCTGCGGCCCTTTCAGAGAAGTCACCGTTCTCTTATAAATGTCCCTTATGAGCTTCCATGATAGTACGAGGGAGGGTCCCCGTCCTGTGATTGGGAGATTTTGCCCCGATACTCACAACCTTGCATGCATAACAACAATAATTACCTTACGTAACTCCCAAGATGCCCTAAACCCTATAGTCCCTCTTCAGTCGATGGAATATGGTGTATGTGGGGATCGTCTTATAACATACCCAAAGCCATATTCTATCTACTTTAGGGGGATTATAAACCCTAGCGTGAACAGTAGGGCGGGGGGAGGGGGGGGAGATCGTCATGCTTGAGGGCTTACATTGGGGTCAAATTCTATGTCGGTAAGATATTCTGTGGCCAAAGGAATTCGGGATTCGGATAATCCCCAAGGTTTAGGGTTCAGGGTTCCCCAAGAACATAGGAAGGAGATTCAATTTCTTTTTCAACTCCTTCATTGCCCATTAACTCTTAAAACCCTTAACCCTAAACACCAACAATCCCTAAACCCTAAACCCTAAACACCAAAAATCCCTAAACCCTAAACCCTAAACACCAACACTCCCTAAACCCTAAACCCTAAACGCCAACAATCAGCGGCATGGATGGCAAGGCCATGGACGGCAACACTCTGTTGGAGCGCCTCGACCTGGATCTGAGCCAAAGTTGAAATTCCTTAATGAGATTTTATATGAGCTATAGTCTAAACTCCTTAAAGGGGGTATATATGGGGGATTATATAGGGGATTGCTTTAGGGGTTGTTAAGGGGGATACTAGGAGTTTAGACAATGGCTCATATGGGATTGTATAGGGGACTACTATAGGGCTTATTAGTATTAGGAGTTCAGACTATAGCTCACTTGAGTTGCAGGGATTATATAATATGGGGTTAGGGTTTTTGTGGGGGTACCTGTGGGGTTGTATAGGGCTTAGGGATAAGTTGCCATGGTCGAAAATCAGATGGAACCTCGCCTGGAAAACATGGAAACTGGGCTTATACAGGCCTGATATAGGGGGTAGAGTCTAGGGTTTAGTGTTAATACGGTTCGTTGATAATTGTAACCAACCAACCCAGACATAGCACGAGGGCGTGTTCTGTTAGAGGCTCCTTTTAAACGTATATTCGGCATGATTTTTCTAAAGGGCTCCCTCTACATAGGGGGGGTGGATATATACATATATATATATATATGGTGGTGTATGGCTATGGAGTGATGGTTTGGAATTGTGGGCTTAGGGTTTTCCAAGCTAGGGGTCGCTGGGAGTCCAAATATGAGCTATAGCCTAAACTCCTTGAAAGGCGTTTTATAGGCGATTATATAGGGTGTATTAAGGGGGGATACCAGGAGTTTAGACTATAGCTCATTTCAGGATTCTAGCTTACAGGGGTTTGTGCTGGTTTAGCCGTATTTACCATACTCAAGTCCAGAATGAGGGGATTTTTACCCCGACCCGTATACCAGGCACCCTAGAGTCTATCATATTGGGACCCTGACTTTTGGTGTGGTAACCCAATCCCCCCTAACCCTTGCCTAAACTTTAAATCCTCAACCCTAAACGTCCTTGTTAGTCCAAGCTTACGCTCAGCCGCTAACAGCCCCGAAAAGCGTCTTTTGGGGTAATCTTGGGATAATGGAAAATAGAATGGAAGCTACTAGAATATATTGGGGTCAATAAGGTGGTAATAATGGAAAAGAAAATGGAAACTACGATTATGGTTTTGCATGTTGAGACCTCATATAGGGCTTTGGAGCACTTTCTATGCGGCTTGATCCGAAAAACCAAGCACGCGAGCCCGAGCTTTCCTGGGATTAGGGGGCTCCTGCACAAGTCCAGAAGCAGAAAACCTAGACCCTCCTCCTACCCTCTATTAGGGCCTAAGTACCTACTATTAGGGACCATATACACCCAATTAAGGGTACAAGGAGGGTCCTGGAAGATTTAGGGGGGCACGAGTTCCGTCCTTCATGGCTAGGCTTCGGATATCTAACCCTAGGGATCCAAATAGCCCAATGTAGGTACTATTTACAGACTTTGGGGCCCAATGTAGGGATTATTTGTATACATGGATCCCTAGGGTAAGGTTGTACCATGCCGTCGTGCCATACCGCGAAGCCCCTAAAGTATCAGCATGGACGTGATTTGGCGCTTGTATCATTCAGGGCATGCATTCACGCAGAGTTGTAGACATCACTGCAGTCCAGTCTAAAGTCCCTTGAGTATTAGTCTGCGTGGGAGAAAGTGGTGATCATGACGACTTTCTGAAACTTACGCAATGGTAGTATGCTACATGCCCATGTCTTGTTCGATTTGCTGCCCCAAGACTGTGTGAATGAACTTCTTTAGAAAACATCGGCAAGCATGACGGGAAGCTGCTAGCCAAGCAGAAGCTTCAGCTGCACTTGCATCATGACAAGGAGTCCGTCATCAACAACATTGGCAGCTGCACGGCATGGGGCACCCTGAGGTGTACGAGAACTGCTTCTGGTTCACTTCGGAGGAGCCGACTCTGCCCAGGCGCAAGCGATGCCACTGTGCAAGTTCCAACTACAGCGACTTCTTGGGCACCGTTGCCATGGATTCCTGCGACGAGGAGCATACGCTCCGGATGCTGCCCAGGAAGGAGAAGAAGCTGGTTTTTGGAGGGGCAGAGGCGGAGATCGGTGGCACGCCCAAGCATGGGCTGCCCACAACGTCCAGATGAAAGGGCAAAGACAAAGATCCCGTTTTCTTCAATCAAAAACTACGGACCTAGGATTTAGGGGTTAGGGCTTAGGGTGCTTGCTGACGAACTTGTGTATATTTGTGGAAGAACTTCAAAGCAGTCCTATACATTCCATTGGTTAATCTCTTTAATATCGAACCCTGAGGGCGGCCCTGTTTTCAGAAGCCTCTTTGTGCCAAGCCGGAGTGAAAACATCCCATGTTACACTGCCACACTCCCCCAAACTAACATGGAACCCCATCAGGCCATGCAACGATACATGGGGAATTACACATTAGATTGAAGTTCCACATAGAACCCCAATATAGGCCTTCCTAAAACGTTGGTTTGGGAGGGTATGTTGCGACAGAGCTCCAAGCCCGAGACCCAAGTTCGTTCCTATCAGTCGAGTGCTTTTTCCAAGTCTAAGCGCCCCTGAAACACAAAAAGCATACTTAGCTGGCCTCCCCGTGCTAGATCATGAGCAGTTCCCGGGCCGAGTGCATGTGAGCGTAGATCTCAGCGTCATTGTTGTCCTTTTGTCTGACTGCCGTTCCTGCTTCTGACATTGTGAATGTTGATTATGCTCGTCCTTTTCCTATTCTCGTTTCTAAAAGCATTTCCTCTTTTACTATCAGAGTTTCTGCACGTGATGCGAGCAGCTACGTCTGCTGCGACCCACCGTTACCTCCCCACCTCCACAACTGTTCTTATGATTTATTGATTATCCTGTACTCTTGAGCCCTAGGCGTATAGCTCGCGCCTTAAGCCACAAGGTCTTCAGCTTGACCCTTACCCTCCCGCAAGCTGACATGGAACCACAGAAAGCAGTCCCTAAACCCTACACCTTAATCCCTAAACCCTAAACCCTACACCTCAATCCCTAAACCCTAAACCCTACACCCTAAACTGACAGCAAGGCACAAGCTAGACGTTAGCTGGGCCTTCGCCAAGCCAGGGAGCAAGAAGAAGGGCCGTCGATAGAGCGAAGGTGCTGAGGGTTTTGGGAGTTTGTTGGTTGGGGAGGGGGTTTAGGGTTTAGGGTTTAAGGTTGGTTAAGGGCGGGGTAGGGGTAGTCACAGCGATTTCAACTTTATTAGGCGCTTAACTGTGCTCTACGGTGGGGCTCTTAAGATTGAGGGCCTGTAGTTTGGGCAGCTGCATACCATCAGTAGATTCCAGTTCTGAGCCCCCAAAATTGGAGCTTCATGTTTGAACCAAACCCTAAACCCTAAATCCTGAACATCTGCGTGAGGCTCCTGGTCTCCCCGATAAAATTACGTACTGAAAGAGCCCATGCCTTGAACCAAAAGCCCTCCCATTAATAGATCTTCCCCCTATCATCCCACTATGGTGCGCGGGGATTCATTATTGAAGGGATGGCATTATGTACTCCCAATATGCACGGTAAGTGTTTTAAAGAGCCCTAAACAAGGACATTGCTTTAAGGGACAACGCCTTCTGGCCCATGGCTTTTTGCTTTGGGATCAACCTGCTTCGGGTATGTTGCTTCAGCAAGGTTTGAAGGGTTGGGGCCAGGGGTACAGCGTTGCAAGAGGCTTCCGTGCTTTGGGTTCAGGATCACGGCGCAATGTGTCAACATGGCTTTGGGCCAAATATGAATGAAGCTGCAGTGACGTGAGGGATACAAGGGATGTTGCTTCCACTTACACAGGCTTCTGCAGCAATTAAGTACCTGCGGCATTGTGACAAGAATAACTTGATGTTTACATTCTATTGTTAAGATGTTCATGATGTTCTGAGTCGAACAGATTAATCGCCAACACAAACAGACTGCTCAAGCTTCTTCCGGGCTCCATCAACACTCCACTTCGAGCTGTGAGTAATTGAGGCCCCTAGCACCTTCAACAATGAGCCTTAACCTCTGGAGCTGCGGGAAGCCGTTGGATGGTTAGGGTTGATCAAGTGGGTTGATTGGATTGTTCTGGGTACGCCACCCGGCCCAGCATGGGCTCAAAAATGGGTACCCTAAACCCTAAACCATAACCTTAAACCCTAAGCATAAACCCGGAAGGGTATCCAGGATCTCATGGCATCTCATGTGTTGAGTGGAACCGGGATCCTGGGACGTTGCCGAGCCTGCAGTGAAATGCATGTGTTGAACCCTATAAGCCCTAAATCACCGCCCGAAAACCTAATCCCCAGACCCTGAGCCGTATAACCCAAAACCTGACATGTACATCTATTTTCATATGCACACCCTGAATTCAAAACCGTAAACCCTTAAACCCCATACCCTAGAAACCTTGCCTGCTGCCCTAGGTGCCCTCCTTCCGCCCTGCCGCAGAGAGCCTCGCGCAAACGGCAGACCGGAGTTATACAGGGCTTATAGGGGTCGTATTGGGGTTATGTTGGGGTTATAGGGGTTATATTGGGATTATAGGAGGTATATTTGGGTTATAGGGGGTATATTTGGGGCTGTACTGGGATGATGGAAAATACAATGGAAGCTACTATTCAGGGTTTAGGGTTTCAGGGTTCACGGTTTAGCGACTAAGTGACTAGGGTGCAGGGCTCAGGGTTTAGGGATTACTGTAGGGTTAGTGTAAGGGTTAGGGTTTAGATATTAGGAATTCAGGGTTTGAGGCTGAAAGATTACAAGTTTTAGGCATGGGGGTGTAGAATGGTGTCAGGGTGCTCAGGGTGGTGAACGCATAGGGCGCAGCCTGCTTCTTAAAATGCTCCCTATAAAATCCTGAGTGGGACCCCGAAACCCTATACCCTAAGCCCAAAATAGACATAGGTTGGGGTCTCCTAAAGGTACCCCATGCTTTCATACCAAAAGCACGGTCTCTCAGAATGACAGGTCCGGGATTATGGGGTGAAGGGGTTCAGGTTTGGGGTGTACAGGGTTTAGGGATTAGAGCTTCGCTTTTGTGCGGAAGCTACGGCTTCCGTGGGACATACAGGGGC